AGCAATTTCCAGGAACACTGAGCCCATAGCGTTCTTAAACCAGTTCGGTGAAAGGGAACACAAACACCTCCTGTTGGCACCATGGTCTTTAGTCTTACAAGCCTGAAGATGTCAGGTTTTATAGACATGTCTGTGCTGACTGCCACCATCCCATTCCCTGAAAATTTGACTGCACAGAGGGACACCGGACTATTTCCTGTTCATTCAAGCAGGGAACAAAAGCTCAAGCTTAAGTGAAAGAGAAGCAGATGGGTGCTTTAGCCAATGTTCGGTTTGCTTTATGAACTACAAAGCATTGTCTGCTTCTGTCTTAGGAAAGAATCATCTTCTTTTCATTTTAAAATGAATTTTTCACACTGGACACATGCCATAAAGAACACACAGTGATGTGACTCATGCAGCCGTATGGAACAGCTACAGGAACTCAAGTTTTCACCTCCTTGATTAGTATTGGAGAAGTAATTCTCTTGGCACTCTTAGTTATATAATGGGAAAAAAAGGATGATCTGGTTTAGCAAGTGATAGCAAAGAACTGTATTTTCTATGTGAGTCATAATGATATTCACACGTAAAAATGTTAGACGCTCTGCTTCTGGCGTGGGTTAAGTGAGAGGCTGTGAAATCTCCAGATATCTTCAAAAGTTAACATGCTCTCAACTGTCTGGAATGCCATGGATAATGAATGTCCTGACCAAAGGCAAGGATGTAAAATCATGTGTAAGGCATTTGTCTCATTATCTAAGGAATCCATCTCAATAAGATGAACTGTCTTTCTGGTGGTCTGCCTCTGTCACCACATCACAAAAACACGGGTAGACATTTCCACAAATTTGTTGGGTGTAACTAAGGGGAGTGGATGTAAAATACAAGCCTTGAGAGTGGTGAACACCTAGGAGAGTCGCAATCTATCCGTCAGACAGGGCAATACATACACACTAGGGGGCGCTTCACACGTGCAGGGCGTGCTCCCAGGAGTCCCAAACCCGCGAGAGCAGGACATCCATCCCCACAACAGCCGTTCTCCTGTGCGGGGGCGGGCCAGGTTTAAACCGCAGAATTGTCAGAGTTTGGAAAAGAGGACGTTAGTGGTTTTTTAGTGTAGTACATCCCAAGGCAACAATACAAAAGAGGGCAAAGAGCACCAGCATCACAGAGAGTCCACAGGGCTGAGCACTGAGGTTAGAAAGAGAAGCCTGGCCCCTGCTCTGATGGAGGCCACGGTCTAACCCAGAGAACTGGAACCGAAACCAGTAACCGTGCTACAACACGGCAGGTGCTCACCTGGAAGTGTGAGTGCTGTGTGTGTGCATGTGTGCTGTGTGTGCACATGTGTACTGTGTGCGCACGTGTGCCATGTGTGTGCACGTGCACACGGGTGCTGGGTGCTGCTTGTGTGTATGTGTGCTGTGTATTGTGTGTGTGTGCACACATGTGCTATGTGTGTGTGCACATGTGCTATGTGTGCATATGAGGGGAAGGAAAGCAGGAAAGATGGCAGGTAAGCTAGCCAGTAAGAGCCCTGAGCCTCAGGAATACAAATGAGAAAGGAGCTGCTGCCTCCACCTGGGGGAAAGGAGTGCCCAGACAGGGGGCCGGGGGCTGGAAATAACTGACTTTGAAAGGTCAAGAATTCCACAGGTGAAGAAGGAAAAGGAAGGAATTCCAGGTGGGACAGCAGCAGGCACAGCAGACTGGAGGCATAAGAAAGAGTAACGGGTTTAGGAAAACACTGGTGATCCTGTGTTCCAAAGATGTGTGTATGAATATCGCCTACAGGTATGTGTATGTACATATATACATATCTATTTTGAGATACAAAATATTAATATACCTATGCCTGTGTGAATATATATGTATCCACAGACATACACACCTATGTGGTAGCTGACTCAGTTACTGTCCCACCCACACCCTCTCGCCCTCAGTACACAAGTGCACATGCCAGATTTCCAACTGCCAGCACTTGTGAAAGTGCCTAGGATTCTAAAGGCCACCATGCCCCCTGAGGGACAGGCTCAAAATGACACTTGGTCAAAAGCCCCTGTAGCAGATGGGAATTGGTATAAACATATCTCAGGCAGGGAATTGGTGTAAACACATCTCATCTCTCTCACCATAGTACACTGGCTTAGGGATGCTCAGCAAGAGTGAGCTCTGGCCAAGCCCAATGATCCTCGCCTGGTGGCGTACCTGCAACCAGCTGCCTCCCCCTCTTCTCAGCCCCACACCCTCGTGCCACAGTCTTCTCTATCTGTAGCAGAAACTACTTACCTGTAAATACTTGTCTCGATGTCTGTTTCTGGGGAATCCAAATTTACGCATGTAAATGTGTGTGTCTGTATTTATATTTATAGGCATATTTGGATAAATTTGTATATATGCATGTGAAGATATACATAGATGTAGACAGATTCACACAGGTATATGTGCACACACTTATCACACACATGCTCAAATGAATGTGTTTATCTCTATGTATACATAGGATTATTGTTCTCCTTTTTGCCAAAGCTTCTGTTCCTACAGGGGAATATGCAGCCCATGGCCCTCCATGTAGCCTTCTTGCAGAGCATTCAGCCTCACAGTGGTCCTGTCTACAGCCCTTGTCCGCTCTGCCCTCTCACTCAGTCAGATGGCACCTCAGCCCTCCCGCCAAACCTCACCTTCTACACCAAACCTTAGAAGCCCTCTGCCCACCAGCACCATCAAACCCCAGACTCCTCAGTGCCAGGGCCAGTTTGCATATTACCTTCCAAGGCAATCATCTGCACAATCATCACTCTCAAGGCAGAGCCATCTGCTGCCAAGACATTATCTTTTTTTTTAGCATACTACCTCAAAAGATAGTAAAATGAAAGAACATTAAAAACCAGCATATTTTAATTACAAGCTGCCAAAAGAGAAAGCTTACACCTCACATTTTTGTTTCCATGAAGAGGAAAACTGCTCTTATGACCCTCTCCAGCCCAAGCCTCCGTACAGATGTCCCAGATGTCGGACTGCCACACAGGAGCTCCACCCTCTCTCCGACCTGTCCTCTTAGCTTAAGGACAGAGAGTCATTAGCTGCCCTGAAGTGCTGAGGGTGGAACCAATATGAAGAACAGAAAGAACATAGGATTAAGAATAAAGGAATGTAGGAAATTAGAATATAGGGATATAGAAAATGATATAGAAGATACGCCTGTAGAGAATTCACTAAGCAGAAAAGTTTGGGCAAGTAACAACATCTCTGACTTTGTATTTCAACTGAAAATGAAGGAGGACATCCAGGGACCTGAACTTGACCCTCATGTGTGTTTCGCTCAGCATGCACTGTGTTTTGAAATACATAAAATATGAATGCCTTGACTGCACTTGAGTTTGTGCCCCCTGTACATCTAATCTCTAAACTCACTGCCAGTCCCACATTGTACTTTGTATGGCTGTCAGTGGTAAAATTACAGGAACTGTCCATCCTCCTCACCACCTTCTAAATCTCCTCAATCATTAAGGAGGCTCAGCTGCCTAACTTTGGAGCATTGTTATGGGAAAGACAATTCCTTCAGCTGCAGATTTAAAATTTTCTACTGAAAGGTGTCTTGTTTTCCCTCAATCTACTCAAAAGAATGATTACATTTTTTAAAAATGTAATTAGAAAACTTAACATGTTCCAATATGGAAGAAATAAAATTGAGTGGCAAATGTAAATTATTTACATAAAAATAACATAAAGCTATTGGACCATAATCAGCAAGAAAGGAAATGCATGGAGATTGAGTCTGAATCTGCAAACTCATGTTCATCCTCATTAGTAAATTATGTTTGTGTTTTTATATATTATAATATAATGTGTATTTTATACCTCATATTGTATGTTTTTTTACATATATCCTATTTCCCTTTCTTTTTTACCTCCTTCTCTGCCATACAAAAACCATTGCCCTTGGTTATGTTTACTTTAATCGGACTCTCGAGGTTGTGTGTGCGTATGTGCTATAGGAAGAGAGAATGGTTTTAGAAAATACATGCAGAGAATGGACAAATGATATGATTTATGATGGCCCACACATGATTCTACTTTGGCAAAATTAGGATGCTAGAGTTCCTCATGTGTTTTTTTAAATATTCTGGACAGTATATTCAAAACAGTATTCAAAAAAGAGTAAAAGCTTTAGAAATAGATGGTTGTACTAACTCCCTGCTGTAAATAACTTGGATTGGTGGTTAAGACTCCATTCCCCATCATCACCATTACCACCACCACTACCAATGATTTTACTCCAAATTTGAAATATATTAGTAAGAAAGATCTCTTTTAAATTATAATATATGCCAAATTCCTTTTTTCATTCCAAAGTGCTCTGAATGTATCTTTGGCTTTGTCTCCCTAATCCCTGCTCTGCCCTGAATCCACAGTTTAGGGGCCATTTCCTCCTGTCCATTTCCCCCCAGGATAACTGACCGAGCAGCAGACAGGCTCTCTCACCCAGCAGTACCCCCAGGTAAGCTGCCCTGATCCCCATCTGCTTCCCACTGACAGCACTCAAGAACTCAACAGCTGCCCCAGCAGGGCGCCGTCTGCCCCAAAGAACAGAGGCCACAAAGTCTTCCCCAAGAAGAAGGCAGGTGGAGGAAAACAGCCTCTCTCCCTCACTCCTTCAGCCAGTGGTTCTCAGTCAGGAATGACCTTCTTCTCTAGGGGACATGTGGCAATGTGTGCAGACACTTCTGGTCATCACACCTGAAGGGTGAGTGCTGCTGGCATCTAATTGGTAGAAACCATGGAAGCTGCTAAACTTCCTAGAGCACAGAGGCTGGCCCCACCACAAAGAACTAACCAGCCCAGAATATCAATGGTGCCAACCTTGAGAAACCTGCCTTAGAGCAAGGAGCTCTCTTGCCTGGGTTCAACTTCAGGAGTGAGAGGAAGAGAAACTGCAGAGTCAGTGCTGCTCCTGGTGGATCCCGGGAGCAGTTAAACAGAAGGAATGCCCTTGTAACACCCAGGGCAGTACTTACAACACAGGAACACCTGGTGCACTTGTTTCCTTCTGGCTGAAATTCCTCCCCTTCTCGGTACTGCACACCCTCGAACATACAGCCTGGGAAGCAAAGAAAAGTTTAGAATTAGGATAGCAGCCATCATTCAGCCTGACACTATCCTCTATCCACTGCTCATCCATCTCCCACCCCCACCTCCACCCAGCAGAGTGTCCTCTTTCATCAGAGGACAAGACTGCTACCTGGTAAAAAAAAAAAAAAATAGGGTATAAAAGATTGACAGGGGCCCAGAATCCCAAAGACGCTACAAAGCAAGTAAGACAGTGGAGTCTGGGTCAGTGTGGGGGGAGTGGTACACGGTGGGAGCCCTGCAAGTCCGAGGGGTGCACCGTGACCACTGTGACCACCGCCAAGAGAACCAGCACCCCCAGAGGGGCCAGAGAGACAAAGGGAAGGCCAAGAGAGAGAAGCCAGCGATGAGTGAGACAATTAATGACACACAGGGCTGCCACTCGGTGAGTTTGCCCGGCCTCATCCAGGCCCTTCACAGCCCTGATCTCACTCCATCTTCCCAGGGAACCTCAAAGTGGGGACTCATCCCTGTGCTCACAGATGAGGAAAACATGGCCCAGAGAAAGGAAGCATCTCACCCAGCCAGCAGGTGGCAGGGCTGGGATTCGAACTCAGCCCTTACTCACCGGCCACACCAGGCAGACAGGCGCCAAGGCAAGAGGGGCAAAGGCAGGGCAGGAGGTGCTGCACAGGTATTCAGCCCCACCCTCTGTGCCATTAAAGGGGCTGTGGCCCCACCAAGTTTGACTAAAAATAGGACCAAAAGCCCAGTAGGTGTCTCCTAGTCAGAAAGATCTCAGGACACTTCGGAGATCTGAGAAATGACCTGCAGCACAGGCTGGCCAGTAACCCCCCATCATGCGGGCCATGCAAGGACTGTCAGCTAATGGCAAAGGCAGTTTCCTGAGGACTGTCCTCATGAGGTATTGCGCCAGAACAGCTGAGGCCCCTTCGCATGGGTACACGGTGCTGGAAGCAGCACTACCAGTGGCCAAAACCCAGCAAAGGAGTTCCTGTGAAAGGTTGGCTCAGGTCCCTGGGGAAGCATTCAAGGCTCCCAACCAATGTTGTCTCAGCAGAACCATCCAACCTCTGGAAGCAGCTGGTTCCTGATGGGGCAATAAGTATTACCTACCACCACCCAATCTGGCTGCCGGACCTATTCATTTAAAGCTAGATATGGAGACTGACAGATGTGCAGAGGAATGCTACTGAGTCTGAAGCTGAGGATCTGAGCCATACTGTGCTTTTAAAGTCTTTTTGATATCCATACCCAGAACGAGCAATCAACTACCTCCTTGCTGTGCCCACTTCAGTACAGAAAAGTCTGTAGGCTAGGGTCCCTGCCAGCGGCTGTATCTCAGCATTGTTAATAATGGCAGGTGCCCAGATGTCTCTTTTCAATAGACATTTCCAACAAAGGGTCTTCATTTCTTTCATGTTTGCACCACTGGTTCTACCATATAGATTGATAGGCAGATGAACCACGACAATCTACATTTAACAACTTAAGTAAGGGAATTTTAAATGGAAATTCTATGCCAACTGTTCCATCACAACCTACCATCCTTGAGCAAACAGTTAGACAAAAAGAAAGGAGCAGACAAGTAAGAATGCCCTGAAATCAGTTTCAGGAAGAAACTGCCCACAGACCCTACATGTTTGTCATTATGCAGAAAACTATTTCATGATCAATGACAGATGCCAGTCCTCCTGAATTACCAAGGAGAATGCCCCAAGGCTTCCCAGGACTGTCCCCAGCTAAACTTGGCTGAGTCCTCCCTCCCAAGACAAAGGATAATGCATTCTCTATGTGGCCTCTTCCAAGTCTTCTAATTTGCATCCCAAAGGTTGGCCTTTGAAATGAAAGAGAGGGAGCCAAGTGGATTCTTGACCCCATAACCAAGGTCACAGAGCCTGTCCAGGTGACATAGGCTAGTGTGTGGCACTGGCATGCTAACTTTTAAAGATTTGCTTCCCAGGGCATCTGGACCCACGCAGAACAATTATGGTGTGGTGGGTGGTAAGAGGTAGCCTAGAATGGAGGCCAGGAAGGATAACAGGCCCCAACTCCACCTTTGGCCCTTACTCACTCCTGGCCCTGGAGCAGCTACCTCTTCTCACTAGGTCTGTTGATCCCATGTGACCTGCGGAGAGGACCTCACCCCTCACTGGATGGTCGTGAGAAGTCAGCCCTGCAATACGTGCAGCCACGGAGCTCAGCCTTTCCTTCCTGGGAACTCAACCAGACACGAAGTGAAAGAAGCAACTGCACAAATATGATAACCTCCACTGCTGAAACAAATTCACTCTGCTGTTTATATACCCACCACTTTTAAAGGCAGCGTAAAAATATGACTGTCTCCTAAGTGAGGAGGATGTTATATAGGCTGGGTTGATTCTGTATCAATAAAGTAATAGTCTACTCAACACAACTGAACTCATATTTAAGAGCTGTAATGATTTTTTAATCTATATGACATATAAAATTTGCTCCATTATCAATGTTAGGCTTGGCAGTGAAAAGAAATTATCTGGGAGGCCTGGGTCTTGCCCCCAGAGATTCTGATGGAATTCATCTGGGATGCAACCTGGGCATTGAGGCTTATTTTAAGCTTCCCAAGTGATTTTAATGTACAGTCTGGAGAACTACTGATCTGAGTAAAGATCCTTTAGGCATTGAAGAGTACGGTCATGTGATACAAAGCTTTTAATGCATTCAAGCAAAAAACGCACTCAAGCAAACTCTGCTTGGTAGATACACAATAATGAGACTATGGAAAGAATTATTTTATTTTGAACCAGTTTTCGGCCTTCACATAAGCTCATCCAATAATACAGGCTTACCAGAAATCCCAGCGTGAAAAGGAGGTTTGGCTCAATCCCAATCCCAGCGTCCAAAGGAAGACTGACCAGGGAACTCAGGAAGGTTAGAGGAACTGGAGAACAACCATCTTTATTGTCATTTAAAGATGACAAAGACCGGACTCTGGAAAGGACTCAGGTCTGGGCATGTTTCAGACTGTATGGAAGGGAATGGCAGGTGCCTGGAAAGGGAACAGGGACTCATCTTTCCAGAACATCCCTTGGGGTGCCTTAGCCATTTCCCAGGAAGGTTCAAAGAACAGAGGGCCCTTTGCAGATGAACCAAAAAAGCAAAGAGAAGCAGTTGTGGGTATCAACTCCAGGAAGGAAAAGCACTCAGAATAAAACCCAAAACGCAGAACATCTGTTTAAGAGTATGGGCCAGGAGCTTAAGGGATCAGGAAAAAAACCTCTCACCTCAAAATTCCTCAGCTCATACCTAAGAGTAAGAAAAGATGTGGGAGGCCTTTGTAATCCTGTTAAGAAAAGTAAGAGGAAATACTCCAGCCACTGGAATGGAAAGATGCCTTTGCTTCAGCAAGGCAGTGGGGCCCTCTAAAAAGACAGTGGGTCCAACTTGTTGCACCACACTGAAAAGTGAGACCAGCAAAACACTAAGATAAATTCACTCTGGGACAGTGCTCTCAGTTTTCAAAAAACATCTGGTCACCTCATCACCAAGGCCAGCTCTAGCCAAGGTATTGCAATATGAAGCAGTGAAAAGATTTCTGGAAGCAAGGGAAAGCCACAGCCTTTCCTTCCAAAATAAGCGTTACCTGCAGCCCCGTAGAGTGGAAAGCAGGCCTCCCGAGCCTGGAGCCTCCACATGCCAAGACCTACAGCACATTGCATTCATCCTGGGCACACCAGAGAGTCCAACCGGACATTTCTATGCAAAGGAGTTTGTTCTCTAAACCCATCACATACACAGATGTAAAGTGACAAAAATTTCAGTCAGGAGTGGGGAAAATCATGCATTCTTGGAAGAGCTCAGAGGGATGTCAACAGTCCTGTGCTGCACCAGGGGGCCTTGCAGCCTTCCCCTTGCTGAGAGTGTTACCTGGACACACAGGGCAGCAGGTCCCCAGATGCCTGGAAGGGTTTTTACAATGAACAACACACCGCACCTCAGACACTGTGACCACGCCTTCCTGAAAAACAACGCCACAAGTCAAATCAGGCCAGAGTTCCCACTGAGGAGTTACACACTTCTGGAAAGTAACAAGGTTAGTACAAGAAAGGTGCAAAGGCAGGGTGCGTGTCAGGTCCAGGGGTGCCTGACACAAATGAGGTCAGGTGTCCCCAGCTTGCCCATTGATGCTTTTAAGCTCAGAATACAAATCCTGCCACCCATTCTTTACCCTGTCCTTGGTCTCTTTCCTGATTTCTTTGAAATTTAGTACTTAAGACCTTCTTGCTATCGGTCAGTAGCTGTCAGAGCCTAGCTGTTCATTCACAATTGTTTCAAGGTTTTGCACTTACTATATGTTCTTTAGTTGTTATTACACTTTAAGCCATTATTTAAGAAGCATAAAGTACAAACATAATACCCCAGGCTGGTATCTGGAGACCTAAATCCTTACCACCCTTCTAGAAATAACCAGACCAACTCTATAATCTTAGACATTTCACTCTGCCTCACATAAAGCCTGGCTCTCATGCATCAAATGAAGATATGAGATAAAACTATTTTAAAATTCATATTACATGTGTCAAAATAGAGACTTTAGGTTTTAATAATGAAATCAAGTGACTCATTTGCAAACTGATCTTGGGACTAATTTTAAAGTCAATTGAATTATTTTTAAACTAATTTTCAGAGTTGGTCTTTGAAGAATTTTTCTCCATATACTCTACCCATTTTTATTAATGGAGTTACTTGTTTGTTTAATTTTGTTTTGAGAAGAGGCAGTAGCACAGGCTTTAAAAAGTGCAACAATTTAACAATGAGATAACTTTCTTCATCAAGTCTGCTACCATATTATCTCTAACAAAGAAGTTTATATTCTAAATGTCTTCCTATCTGTCAGGTCTGAGGGTTCCACTATCAGAGGAATTTACTGTAGTCTATATCATATTTGGGAAAGAAAAAGACAACTGTCAAAATAACTCAACATACAACATCAAAAAAGGATTTGTGCTTTAGTTATATAACTGAAGCAGTACAAAAGCTATGGCCCAAGATCAATTTCCCTTTAGTATCTGCAATCCAGATGGAGGAGTCAGGTTCATTCCCAGCATGAATTTCCTGTTTGCAATCTTCAGATTTTTCTCTTCCAGTAAGAAAGTAAAAGCAGAAAATCAAGGTAAATTTTTCACCATCAGAACTCCTTTGGTAGGAGGATGTAAGAAAGAAGCTAGAATTCAACTCAAGTGCAAATAAACCAGATCATTAGACTAGCCGTTATCTGTCTGGCACCAAGTTGTAACCAGTACATGCAGGCTCCAGTGGAAATGTTTTTAATGGCAGTCTCAAGCATTACTTCTAATTACCCTGACATAGTACCATCCTCATTTTACGGGGGAGGAAAACAGGCAGTCCAGAGAGGGTAAGTAACAAGTTAGGTGAGTAGCAGAGCTCATAGTTTACTTGCTGCACTACACTCTCCCCTCTGTTACTGACTCCATGCTCTGGGAAGAGAAGAGCTTGGAGCCATAGGTTGCAATTGTGTCATTCTGCAGAGGAGCATCTTAAATGAAGACCGCCAGGAACCAATAAATGGTCCTTGCTGCCTTCATGGATGAGATCTCATCTCTTAAAGAAGGAAGAAAGTAAGCAGGGATGCGAAGGTGCCAGCTGAGCAGAGGAGCAGCTTTTTATAACTACCTTAACAGATGTTTGCTTTTATGGCTATTGAATGAAATGATTTTTTCAACTAGCTAAAACAGCTAAGGCAAAGTTTTCAAAAAGGAAGAAAATATTCACAGGCAAAGCTCAACTTTGGTAGGCAATGTCCCCAATCTGTGCTCCGTTCTGCAGTTCAGCATTTCCTGACTCCCAGGGCTACTGGTGTTTTAAGGACTTTTCCAGTAATAATTCAATATCTCTGCATCATTCTCACTGGGCTCTGCTGAGTGGCTAATGCCCAAAGATGACAGAAATAGGAGTGTCAATGTTAACAGTTGTTAGTGGCTTGCGGTGTTATTCAGTAAACAAAATATTCCCTCCCAGGCAATACTTTTGCTTAATTTAAACAAAGTCTTCATCCAAAGACAGCAAAATTCACCACTGGGCCATGCAACTTGAGGACCTTCTTAAGACCTCTGACTGTTGTACAAAAATGTTCTACTGCACTCCAAAGGGCATGCACTTGTTTTCTAAAAGTCAGTGTAACCATGGCTTTCATAGTGCCCCTACCAAAGAGTGGAAATTTCATTAGTCAAGAAGCAGGATGGGGGTGGGATGGTGCAAACTGTAGAATGAATGTAGGCTTTTGATGTTATTTAAACTCATTGCTTTCTGTTCCATAAAGCTGACTGAATCCATAACTCAGAGTAATAATTCAACAAATGCGTGTTATTCAATTTATATATTATTTATATCTGTTCTACCTACTTCTTATTTTCACAAATAATTTACATTTACCAAATATATAAGCTGACTATGTAACTGAATCAATAACTGAAGAACATTCAAATGAACATGTCCACTGTGGGCATATAATAAGAACATGACTACATAAAATTCAGATTTTGATAAACTAAATGTCAGTAGACTTAAGATCAGCAAGAAATATATACTACTATATTAACTGTAATTTCTCCTTTAAATTCAAAAGCATATCCTTGGACATTGAAATGGGGTTGGGGAAAAACGATTTAACATCTCCACATAAAAGAATTTTGAGTTCATTATGCTTCAGAAGATTGGAGACTGACGAAAATTAGGCTTGGGGTGGATTAATGATTGTGCATTGAGCATTGACTCCCCTATATAGAATTTTATTGTTGTTAACAACCATTTGATCAATAAATATGAGAGATGCCCTCTCAAAAAAAAAAAAAGTAGGGAGTGATAATAATATCCAACATTCACTAGATATTTACCATGTACCAGGTGTTGTTCTAGATGTTCCACATATATTAACTGATTAATGTCCATAATTATGAGGTTGTTACTACTCTTTTTTTTCTACTTGGAAACTGAGAGAAAATAAAGTGGCTTGCGTGTTGACAACAAAAAAATAAAAAATAAAAAAGAATTTTGAAACTATGTCAAAATTACATGAGCATTTTTTAAAGAGTATTTCTTTAGAGATAAGGAGTTAGAAAATTTAGATTCTTCATTTTCCCTGTGTTTATTTTGCCATGTTAAGGACCTGTAGTGATTAGAGTCCCATGGAATCAGTGTTCTTTTCAGAATTCAGCAAACACCAGCCACAGTAGACTCCTTAGGAGGGGAACTGGTGGTTCTTAAGGTTACAATGTACTAATTGCTTTGATTTAATACAGTTTATGGATCCGCTCCAGTTCAAAATGTTTCTAAATCAAAGAAGGAAAACATATATATCCTCTAACAATACCTCTTTCTACTAACAGGAATTTGTATTTTGCTCAAAGTTGACTCACAGGAAGACATGACTTTTCCCCAAGGACATATGCATCTTTTCGGAGTTTTTCCAGGCACAATTTAACAAGAGTGAACAACTACACTGTGTGTTTCTGGAAGCACGTCCTATCCAATATCTGTCCTATACCTGTCTTATTATGGTGAATGTCACAATAAATGTGTATAAGAGTACAGTTGGTCTTTCATTTGTTTCTCATTGTTGTTTTGCCCTTTTTTTTTTTTTTTGGTTTTGTTCTGTTGACTGAAAGCAGTTTTCAGTGAGCACGTTATGGACTCCTTTTTCACTGTCGAGTAAAGTAACTGGGCTTTACCTGGCACTGGTGCAGGACACAGGGTTCTGCAGGACTCTGCCACGTGAACGAGCTGTTATAGGTATTCCCTTCATAGGTGCAACCTAGACAGGAAACACAGAAGCAGGGAGAAAGGCCAAGAATGAATGTGTGTTCCCTTTGTCCTTGGAGCAAAACAAGTTGTATCTCTAAGCCAGGACAAGTGATTGCAGGAATCATCATGCTCCATGGCTATTTTCCCCACAACACACAATTAACCTTCTAAATATCCATGTGGCTTTCACTTACATTAACTGAGAAGATTAACCTTACATACTATATTTTAAATGGAAAACCATGAATCGATGACTTCTTTAGGCCAAAATGCATATCCTTGTAACTTCATTTATGCCTTGTGAAATATGAGGAGAAAGAACCAGGGCTAAAAACACCACAGTGAAAGGGGATTTTACATTAAGACTAATAAATGAACTCCAAGTTGCTAGGGGTCAAGAGGGAAGTTTAAAACATGGTAGGAAATAAAATCAGAGAATTAAAATATAGGAAATAATTGCAAAATTCTATACCCTTCTTAGGCTCTTAATAAGCTACTGTCTTCTCCAGATGAAACCTTCCAAGTCTTGCCTCCCAGCTCTAAAAGCTATGATATCATATTTCACTTTGATTTTACTTGAGATAGTGGAACTAGATTAAGAAAATCTGAAACTATCCATATATGGATTATCACATGTTAATTCACTAGCCAAAACAGAAGTCAAAGGCCAGAGACCCTCAAGAGGAACCAGGCCAGTTCGCTGAAGACCCTGTAGAAAGCGCCAAGGAAATAATGTTGCAAAGATCACAGCCTAGATCTTGATTGAATTTTCCAAATAACACCCCCTGTGAATTACACTTACAGGGAAAATGCACCTGGCTATGCCTCTAGTCACTGCCCACCAAGCAAAGGGATTTGTCAATTATAGTCCAGTTGCTTAGCACAAAGAACACAGAAGTAAGAACACACACATGGGATAATGCAGAAATAAAAAAAACTTGCCTCTCTAATAACCTCAATCCACTTTCTTGTTTTTCTTCTTGAACATACAGAGAGGAGATTCACCTCCTTTCCTGAATTATTTTAGATACTGCTATGGTAATTCAAAAAAAACCTGCTTATAATACATACAAACAGAACAATGGATTTAAGAAAATTTCAATAGATGCTTTCATAAACTTAGAACCATGATCCAAATTATGAATGATTGAAAAGAGCTCAGTAATACTCTTCTCTCTGGTTCCTACAAATCAAAGTACTAAAGTACACAGCTGATTGGAAACATATTAGGGAAATGCTTTCACTATATATTTTTTAATTTCCTTTGCATGAAGTGTTACAGCGGTAAAATGTTCAACCACAGGAACCCCTAGCACACTACAAATACTTATGCCAAACCAAGAATGAATACAGTAAATTTTCAACAATGAAAACCAATATAAAACAATTGGGGCTAGCATAAATCTTACTGAACAAATGCACTTACAATAGACATGCCATGTGCATGTCTGACCCACTAACACAGACGCATTCGGATAATAAATAACTTGTTTTGAGAGATGGAGGCGGGGAAATCAGAGGACCAAATCCATTCATGTTAAGTCCAAGTGGATATTAAATGCCTGCCAAGTCTGCCAGTGGAGTTTCCAAATATGTTATATATTTTCATCCTCTGGATTAAAATAACCAGAAGAAAGGGTGGTTTTATGCTGCTAATAGGGCAGGCAAAGAGTCTGCCTTTTTTGCTTTGGAGGAGGAAGTACACTAAGAAACCTTGGAGCCCAGAGACTATTCCTCAACAGTGCCAGGTCATGTGCAAAGGGCCCCCAGGTGTAAGACAGGCGTCTCTGGATTATTCCACTCATATGGGATAAAAGCTATTGGACTGAGTGGTCCCTAGTGCAGGGAACCCAGCAATGTTTCCTGCTTCAAATAGCTGCCAGTTGGAAGGCCGGCTTCTCCACCATAGCTGAGCATGTAAAAGCAAGGTCAAGTGCTTCATTGAGCAGTACTTCATTGCTGAAGTGCCCTGTTTATATGTCAGTCTTCCCCACCTGGGTCCATGTAAGATTTTCCCAAAAGTTGGATAAGTCTGAAGAACAGAATAGACTAAAAAACGTCTGCATTAATCTCTTCAAGCAAGTATAATGTATACCTTTCCCTTCTTCCCCAACCCTCTCCAGCATCAGCTCATTATGGAGACTTCAGATGCCAAGCATTCTAATAGGCTTCATAGATAAGGGATTCTTATGGATAAGATCACTTTAAAAAGGACATTTTTACTGCTGTTTGGGTTCACGTTCTAAGATAAACATGTTATCATAACACAAAACAACTAACATGAGCTCTATGAAGACTCACATACACATACAATCAAACAGAACCTCATATGTACTCCAGAATTACCTCTTATTTTCTGTAAGGCAAAGTTTATAACATATTCTTCTTGCTAGCAACTTTATTCTGCTAATAGGGAAGACAGACAATATCTTGTCCCTTTTTTAATTGAAACCCAAAGGAGGAATATACTAAATAGCTCTTATTAGCCAGGGTAGAAAGGCCAAGAAAATTTTCCATCAGACATCAAGTCAGTGCTTCTCAAATACCTCCAGTGACAGACCAGTTTGTTTTGTTTTTGTTCTTCTAATCCAATGTGGACTGATACTTTCATAAAATATGATAAAAATTAATTACTAGAAAAATTAGGTTTAAAAACCCAAGACAAAATATAAGCCCAACTGTTTTATTGTTATATGCATTATATATAACAAGCATAGAATAACTCGGTCAAGTAATAGTAAACACTTCTAACTGTCTACTCTGTCTACTCTCCACTTCTGTACTTATCTCATTGTAGACTGGTGTTGTACTTTATGGACCACTGGCAACCTGCAGAGCACATTTTGGGTTGCTTCACTGGGGGATTTATCATGCGGTAGGAGAACAACCCAAAGAAACAATCCAAATATTTTAATCCTCAATATCTAGAACTAGAAACAAACTTACAGATAATATACTTTAGCTCCTTCATTTACAGATGAGAAAATTTGCAGAGAAAGATTAAAGTGGCTTGCTCAAAGTTAGAAGGCATTAGATGTGAAATCCCCACTAGAATTTAGGTCCTCCGTGAAATTCACACTTTCACTTCCAGATTTAACTGGCGGTACTATTTGGACACTTTTTCATTCATAATATCCTTTGCATTGAAGACTTAATGGCCCAAGAAAAATATCAAGACTGTCCCACATAAAATTAAATGATAGCAGATCCAGGAACTAAATGAGAGAGTGGGTAAGTGGGGCAGGCAGAGGCACAATTATGCAACCAGTAGAGTATTTTTTTCTTTTTTTGTGAACTATTTTTAAGCAAACTTCTGAAAAGAGAATTTATAAACATTTTTAGTTTTCTTCTGGTGATACAAAGCTTTTTAGATTCCACAGGCTTCAATAAAACTGTCCATACTGCAGAAGAAGGCAGTGCTTATTTTCTGCTAAAATCACCACAGTGTGTTTAAACTCGCAGTTCTCACTCTAGGTCTATTTTGCCTCTCCCTCCCCCCTGCTCCACCCACGTCTCCACCCATTTAAGTAATATTAGGAGACACTGTCAGTTGTCATAACTGGGTGATAAGGGTGCTATAAGCATCGAGTAGGTAGAGACGCGGGATGCTGCTAAACCTGCTACAATGAGCAACTAAGAATCAACCAGCTTGAAATGTCTATTGTGCCAGACTGAGAAACCCTGTTCTAAACCATCACACATAGTTCCAAATAGTTATTTTAAACTAAAATAACACAAAAACAAGCCTCTACTATACGCTTTACTATCGTATGTATTTTGGATTCTTTTAAGTTAAATATTTTCAGAGTGGCGAAGAATTTCAGACCATTTTTTAAGCACACATGCTCTTGTAGTGAAACTCAGTCTAGCCAACTAGTCAACTTAGAAAACACGCAGCGATGGAAACAGGAAGAACACAAATAAATTGAACCCACAATTAAGCAATAAAACTCATTTTTCCTATTAGTTCTGACCTTTTTCAGCGGCCACAGTATCCCAAGGGAGAGAGAACACCACACATTTTCATCATCCTGTTATTAAAATAGCAGTTAAAAATCATCAGGACCATAAAAAATAGCTCTGCCCTTCTAACGAGCCTCAGCTCCACCTGGTTTCCCCTTTCTAGTCTTAATCCCCATTTTTCTTGTTAACATAAACCTTAGAGCAGTGAACTGGGTCTTACTCTTACCAATAACCCCTGGAACCCAAGGGCCTCACAGTGTGACCCCCACCTGCCTCTCCAGCATTTGTCCTTCATTCCTAGAACTCCATCTAGGTCCTTAGGATTACACACCTTTCCCTGATCGTAATGAACTTGAATGCTTCTTAAAACAGGTTCAAGTCCTTCAGTCAAGGCGATTGGACTCCCACCTCACCAGCCCACTGAATGTCACTCTCTCTCTCCCAGGCTGCGGCTGCCTACCAAGTGTCCAATGTAAGGGATACTCGGTCTTTACCTTGTAGGACTTCTCTGTGGTGGGCTGACCACTATCCCCTCGGCCACGCTCCGCATACCTTCTAGATATTCTCATTCCATTCCTTCCACTTCTGCCTCAACTATGCTGCTGGGATTTTTTTTCTACCTGGACTATTACAGCAGCCTGGCTGACTGTTTTTCCTAACTGGAAGAGGGGCCTTTTTCAGGCATCTTCCTGTGCACCTACCAGCGTGCTCTTTCCAGTCAGGTCTTATTATCTCATTCACACACTTGGACTTTATCAACGACTGGTGGTTCTCAGCCTGACTGAGGTATAGATGGGTATCTATTCCCCACCCTTCTTCTCCAGACCAGCTGGATCAAGATCTTACAAATAGAAGCAGAATCTAATGAGCGGCCAGGATTGAAAAACCACTGACCATTACTACAAAATTCAAACATCTTAGTTATATAGCTCTCAAGCCTGGCTTTGACTCACCTCTCCATTTTCTTATCTACTGCTCCCAAACTCCCAATGCTGGACAAGCCACATTGAGAATTCCCCCAGAGATGGCCAGAAGATCTCATCCTAT